CACATGCTTAAATATTATTATTAAATATGCCAGGATTATAAGAGACTGTGCCTCCAAAACAAACTCACAAGCAAAGAGCTCATGACGACTCAGAGCTGCAACTCAGTGCATGGCGAGGCTCTCGATTTAACACCCCATAGTCAGAAAACAACTATAACACCTGTAAAATACCTTTAAACATTCCCTTCAGCTGACCTAGTAACTCACATTTGAAATCCTAGCAGTAGGGAGGATGGGCAAAAGGATTACCATGAGTTAAAGGCCAGGCTGGTTTATATAGTAAATTCCAGATACTCTGGGCAACTTGGTTAGACCCTGTCTTAAATGATTTTTAAAGGACTTGGGATAGAGCCCAATGACGGAGATAGAGTACTTTCTTGGTGTATACAAGCTCTAGGTCCAATTATAAGCATGGAAAATAAAGACGATGTGCTAGGTATATGTATTGACCTCTGTGAAGATCTTTCATCCTTAAACTATGAAAACAAAACAGTAGATCTAGAAACAAACAAGCAAACAAAAAACCTTTGTGGGAACTGTTGTTCTGTACAGTGGTTTGTATTAACTAAAATCCATTGTACCTCTAGATTTATTCTACTGTCCTGTTATGTACCAGTTACAGAAATAATCATATGAACATGTAATCATAAAACAACATATATATTTATGAAGATTATGTAGGGTTAGATATAGGTAGGTAATTTATCTATACAATATAAATATGGATCAATTTTGGATTTATGTGTATATTACATAAACACACACACAGACCCACACTATATTATGTGAATGCGTATGCACACATACACACAAACACACAGAGAAACACACACACAAACACCCACAAACTTTATTTCCTTTTCTTTAGAGCATGATAAGCCTCTGAACAGCAACTTCGCCAGGAGAGGGTAACAGTAGCATAAGGTTAAAGTAAAGAGATATTTATGTAGAGAATAAGATGCAGAATGGTGTTCAATGGATGTTACAGGCTTACTTTAAACCATTTTATTCATGCTTGAAAATCACTGTAGAATAATTTTAGAATATAGAAAATTATGTCAGATTGATTGTATGTTTGACAATCACCAAATATTCATAAGCTTATGTCGGAATATCAGATTTTAAGAAATTTTGAAATATATGTATGCCTCTATACTAGAATGATTTTGAAGTAATTATATAATGTATAGAGGATTTATCCTCCTTTCATATAAAAGCTATGACTTTTCATAAGTTAATATGTATAACTTTTATTTTAACTACTTGAATTATATTATAAAAATATTATTTTACTATTTAAAAAAGGAACTCATGCCATTAAACTGCAGGCTTTAACCTTAACTACATCTGAAAAAATCCTTTTTATTCTGTAGGGCACTTATAGGCTCTAGGGATCAGCACCTACATGTCTTTAGGAGCTATTCTGTTATCATACTGTGAAAATAAAAAAGGGTTTATTAGTAATTTTTGATCACTTGTTGGATTATATTATTAAAAATATAATGGGTTGAGCAAGATGTCTATCCATGTAGAATGGGCTCCACTAAGTCAGTTTGTGCATTAGAGTTAGGTCTTGGAGCCACAATCAGTGGCCTCATATTCTGTCCCAGTCATACCATCATCACCTATATTAAGGGAGTCTAGTTCAGTCTTATGCAGATTCCCCATTTGTCAGACTGGAGACAGTAATATCCCCCTAGCTCAGGTCAGCTGATTCTATGAGTTTCCCCATCATGGTCTCAAGTCCTTTGTTCATATTATCGCTCCTCCCTCACTTTGATTGTACTCCAGGAGCTTGGCCTATTGGTTAGTTGTAGATTTCTGCATCTGCTTCCACCTGTTTCTGGAAGAGGGTTCTCTGAGGTTGTGTGGATTATAGACTGGGCATCTTTTGCTTTATGTCCTGTATATACTATATTACTAGGACATATAGCATGGGAGTAGGGGAGCTTGGTTCTGCCTCACAAGATGATGGAACAAACTTAGTAGACTTCCTGGGGGAGGTCTTACCCCCTCTGAGGAGCGGATGGGATGTGGGGGTTGGGGAAGTCGGAGGCAGAGAGAAAGCTGACTGGGGATGGTGTGGACTTTTGAAACCGCAAAGACCACTCCAGTGACACACCTCCTCCAACAAGGCCACACCTACTCCACCAAGGCCACTCCTCCTGTTCCTTCCTGCACAGTTCCACTAACTGGTGACCAAACACATCAAACATCTGAGCTTACGTGGGTCATTAGCTCTTTCAAAGCACCTCACACAGCAAATCATGGTACAAAAGAAACCTCTTCTTTCGTAGTCAAGATATCCCACCAGATGCAGTATGAAGCAGAAGCAGGCAAAGAGCGCCTCTTCTAAGAGAGAGTCTAGGGAGCATCCTATCCCCTCCCAAGAATGCTAGTTACTGCTGGCCTCCCTCCATGGAACCATGGATGTTTTAGTTCATATTTTGATTTTCAGCAGTTGGCACATAGAAGGCTCTTCTAGTGAATGTCTGTTTAGCCAACTGATTCCAGGTGCCAGTTACAGCACACTGAAAATAAATAAAATTCAGTTTTGGAAAGTAAAACAGCTAGCCCCCCCTCAGTTTCCAAACAAAGATAAACATTTACAAACCATTGGGAGTGCAGTCTCCAATTGGAGCTGTAAACTGAATACTTAATGGTCATATTTTTATGAGTCAAAGGAGCATGATGGTTCTGGAAAAATAATGTTCTTTACCAGATGAACATTCTAATTAACCAAGTGTTTTCATTGTTTTTGTGATTAAGCCAGAAACCATCGAATCTGTGACTGTTTTCGAAATGAAATTTTAAAAATATTTTTCTGAATGTACCACTTTGTGTGGTGCTGTGTTTGAGTGAGTTGAGAGTCTCCAATCACTTAACCTAGTCCCCCAACACTCAATGAGGCAAGGAGCCTGCCTGGAGTCAAGCTTAGGTTTCTTGGATGCACCAGGCTTCCAGCCTGAGGGAACATAGTGAGGCAACACCTGTGACACTTTCCAAGTCCCTCACCTACCTAAGGTAAGGACCCTGTGAGAAAAAGTTAGAGGTTCTGAGAAAGCCCAGTTTTCTGGAAGGTTCTCTCCTGCCATACATCATCCTGAAGAATAATACAATACATTCATTTTACCCATCCTTTCTCCCTGTAATCTTCCTGGTTCCACAGAATGTGTGTATCAATAAAAAGATTCTACAAATAAACATGTAAAAGAAGGTTTGCTAATTGGAAGGACTGATAGGCAGTTTGAAGCATTCCTCAGAAAAATCTATTGTTGTGCCTTTCTGGACTTTATTGCTTATCAGCACTTTTTCCCCCTCAAGAAATACAAAATAGCAACATTTGTTCAAGGGGAAAGAAAAGCAAACTGTTTCTTCCTTTCTTATTACTTTTATTGTTTTGGGTTTCTTTTAGACTATAATGTGGCATTGTGATGTTGAGAAGGAAAAGAAATCCCTTGTCTTTCAAACATAAGAATGCGATTGTATGCTATTGTTGCCAATGAAGAGCTAAAGAGGTTAATGGATCACAGAGCTGGCAAGGGGCCATCTCTCCTACTGCTCCTTATATTACACAATGTACATGTGGCTGTTGCTGCTGAGCTTATGATTTTGTCTGAGTAGATGGTAAATAAGTTTATGGAAATTTAACTTATTGCTTCTAGAACTCAACAACTCTTTCCTTCAGGCTATTCCCTGACAGTTTCAAAATGTAGTTTGAGATCTGAGCCCATTGCCTTTTGAGGTGATGGTAAAAATGGGTCCAGGAAAGGAGATGAGGCCGGCTTCTGAATGAGAATATACAAATACTTTGTCTAATGGATTGCAGCCGACCTTTCGTTTCCAGACAGACAAAATTCACAGAGTGCGATGGCCACAATAGAAAGGACAGATATGGGAGAAAACACCAATTCTTTCTAGTGTTGCTGCCGGTGATCCTCCTCACAGCACTAATTAAGTGAATCAGTCCTCCCTACTGCCCCCAGATTGCTTCAACTTTGAATGCCACAACTGTCATTTGAAAGCAGACAAGCTCTCCTGAGCAATAACGTTGTGATTTCTTCCTAAAGTACTTGTGCATTTGTGCAGTCAAAGTATGCGAGAAACGGACTATGAAAGCAGCACAAACCAGTTTCCAGGTGATATGCCTTCCACCCAGCAGAGGCACTGAACGCAGCAAATAGAATCCTTCCCCGGCCTGCCATTCTGCTGGAGGCAAGGGCGGGGACAGAGGGACTAAATTGGCAAGGCGAGTATGCCTCTGAGCTTTGGAACTCCAGACCCTCAAGAAGGCTGAAGCCCGCCTGGCTGGACTTCTTCCTCTTTCTAACTAGGCGATGATCGCCCCCTGTGACTCTGAAGGCACACAGCAGCCCAAAGCACGGAGTTGGCTGTCGCCACCAGCCCCTACTAGCTGCAAGCGCTCTCACCTGGCATGCTGAAGTCAACGTGGGCTCTCTGGACCCCTGTGTGCACCCACCCCCCGCCCCAGCTCTGGGTCTTGCTCCCCATCATCACAGCAGAGAGATCTGTGTGTCTCAGCTCCTCAGACACTGGGTCCCTTCTATGTATCAGATCAATGTCCTGCCATCCCAGTCACCTCTGCAGGTTCTCAAAGCTGTGGTCTTATGTTGCTCGGGAGTCCTGACCACCCATTTTGCAGCCACACTGTAATAGCCAAAGCTTCCCGTTCAGTGTCCCAGCCTCACGTCCTCCGTCCTCCACCTCTGGGTTTATCTTCCTCCACCCACCCCACCCACCCCTGAGCTTCAACCCCTAAGCCCAGGCCCTCCCCATGATGCTAGGGGCTCCTGAGCGTGCGCCCACTTCCTAGTCAAAGACACCTGCACTCTCTCCCCCGCCCTTTTCCTTCTTTTCCCTTTCCTCTAGGTCTCTCAGCCACCCTGACAAGCACAGGAGCGACCAGTGGAGGAGGAGCAGAGGGAGGAGGAGAGCACAAGGAGGAGAAGGGGCGGGGTGGGTGGGAAGAGAGCCGGGAGGGTGTGGACTGGCAGCCACTCTGCAGCTGGTCGCCCGGGACCTTGTCCCTCCCGTGAGCCGAAGTGATGGAGGGGAAGAGATCCTCTTAGACACACAGGCGCGCGCGCATCCAGCTGGGCACGTCTCCGGGAAGCAGCAGCCGGCAGGAGCGCCGGGGACCGGGCGGCGGCCGTGACAGCGCCCCGGCAGGGAGTCCGTGGTTCTCACAGCTTGGCGCCGGCCGCAGGAGGACGCAGGGAGCAAAGATCGCAGCTGCACTGACTGTTGCTCTTTTGGACACATCCCGAGGGACCGAGCTTCCTGACATTGTCGCCGGGAACGCCAGAGGCTCTGCCCCTCGCGTGCGGAATCCGGTTCTGTGCGGGTGCCTGTGCCGGCAGAGGAGGATGCTAACCTCCTCCCGCAGAGCTCCTGCGGTCCCCTCAGCTACGCGGACTCGGGCTCCAGCGACTGCCCCTGACGTTCCTGTGCCGCGGGAGCGCGCCCTGCCGCACCTGGCTCCAGTCTCCCAGGGAAGTGCGCGAAACGCGCCCTAAACTCCACTACTTCTCGCCCCCTCCGCTCGTTGCTCCCCGCCCGGGACCTAGCGGCCACCGCTGTCACCGCCCCAGAGTGCGAGCCCTCCTTCCCCGCACTCACGCGCGGATACAGTGCTGCTTGCCTGTCCTCCTTGCCCGCTCACTCACAACCGACACCTAGCCAGATCATCCCAAACTACGGAACAACTGCCACTGAGACCGCGGGAACAGCAGGGTGACCCGGCGCTACCAGTCTGTCTGGGCCACCGCTTTCCAAGCTGTGGGCCCGCTCCGAGGTTGTCACCACTGGGAATGAGGGTGAGTGAGCAGGGCACGCTGCCCGCCTTGCTCGGGAGAGAGGGGAGGGGAGTCGCGGCTGGGACCTTCTAGGTTTGTGGGGAAGTGACAAGGCGAGTTGCCTAGAGGGGGCATCCCTCTGGCCAAAGCACTTTGTGGGGCGCGGTTTTCCTAGGCACCTCCTGCGGAAGCCTTTGAACCAAACCGCCTTTCCTGGGGTTAGGGTTAAACTAACGGGACAAGAGAAACAGCGTGAGCAATTGCTGGAGTGAAGTCAGTCGGCCTCCTAGCTGTCTGTCTTCCCAGAGACCTACATTCAGTGCTCTCTTAGAGTCAGATGCAGAACTGTTCTCAGTGATGATCGCTCAGCAGAGTTTGGGGTTTCCCTCTTGGCCTCTTCTGGGGTGAATTGTAAACTGTCTTTTGGAGTTATATGGTAGCTTTAAGGGCAGCAGAATGTACTGAGGCCAGAGCAAAGGGCAGACAGAGTAGACAGAAGTTTCATTGGTGGGAGTAGGTGCCTAGTCTCTGGGGAAGACACCCCCAGTCATAGGGTCGTTTCCCATTCCCTCAAGCCTCACTCAGTGAAACCCTTCCCTCTCACATCTAGCACAACACACACACACACACACACACACACACACACACGCACACAGTGGGTGTAACGGAGGGGAGGTGATCAGATTACTATTACTAAGAGGTCTGCAGTCACTGTGACCCACTGCAGGGCAGACCGTCCCCTCCTGTGTGTGGTTGACTTTACTCAGGGTCCAGCTACACAGGGAGCAAACCTCTGGCGCTCCTCCTGAGTCATTACATGTTGGTGGGCTCCTCTCTGCTCTCAGGCTTCCCTTCTTGAGTGCATCCACCCAAGAAAGCTACCGCTGAAATATGTGTAATCTTCGTTTTGTTCGTACCCCCCCCTTTTCTCTGTCTTGCTCTCCTCTGCCTCTGTCTCTCCATCTCTGTGTCTCTGTGTGTATCTCTCTGTCTCTCTCGGTCTAGCTGCCTCTGTTATTTCATGAGAAAGACTAGGCTCTTAAGGGGATATTTAATGCTTGAAAGTGCTTCATATCGTATTACTTCGTGGATGCATTTAATGGCCCAATGACTCTCTCCTGATTTGTGTAAGCTGAACCTGATAAACAGTATGCAGGGTCTAGGGTGGGAACAATATGGGTGGGCATCCTCTGGGTGACTCTGCTCCTATCTCAACCAATTTGCTGTCAGTCATAAAAAGTGACTGCCTCGAAAGGGTTTTGTTCAATGTTCTTTGCATATTTCAGAGCTTAGGACAGGTGTTTTCATGATACAATTCAATTCAAACATATCTGTCTCCTTTTCAGAGAAACTACTAAAGATGATAAAAAAATCGATCACCAAATTTAGATACCAAATATGACTGCTTAAACATCTTATATTGCTATTAATTACATTTTGAAGTTACCTTTGTCCTTCGGCTTCATGACTTTGTTCTCCCTATTCTTAAATTCGTCAAGTTCTCAGCAGGAGAAATAAAAGTGTCTATCCTTGCCTTTTTCACCATGCTTGTTTACAAACGGTAATGTTTGAAGTGCCTGGGTCAGTTGAGACAGGCTTCTCAGGGAAAGAAAGCTATTTGCCAGTGAACTGTGCCAAAACACAAGGCAATGAGACAGGAAACAAAAACGGGGGGGGAGGAAACTATTGTTTACCTGCAACTGTCTTCTCTGCAATGCATTAACTGTGGCAAGCATAATAGCTCTGGCTCTGGCCTCTCCTAAGTTACCCTAGGCTACTTAAACATGTTCTTTCCTCAATTAATAAAACAGAAGTAGGCATCGTTACTCATGCAAAATAGTTTCAAATATATATGCCTAAACAACTTAGGAGGGGAAGTGTGGGCAGAGTTTTCATTGGCTGGTCACAGCAGGTACTGGGCTCTGACTTCTGGTTGAAACCAGACCTCTCAATCTTAATGTTTGAAGTAGCTCCTCTGACATCTTTGTGAGGAGGTTTTGCTCGGTGTATGGAGGAGATGCTTCCTTCACCATCCTTGCTGCTATGCGGGCGTACACAGATGTTTTTGAATGAATAACTTTCCTCCTCGCTGAATTTGCACTCATTCAAAAAGTCTTGAGCATATGAGCGCACACAATAAGCATAGCTGAGCTGGGGCATTAATTTAAAACAAGGAAGAATTATTGCTAGAAGTGGGGTATTTGTTCCTACTCTGGGTGACAGGAACTGCACACACAGCAGTGGTTTTCTTAAGAAAGCAGTACCATCCCCAAAGTAGATGACCAACCAACAAAGAGTTGTTGACTCAAGAGTCACAGGAGACACTTTAGTGTCTAACTTTGTTTCCCACCCAAATACTGCCATTATTTTTAACCAACTTGTTTGTCATTTAGGTGACTCAACTTCACAGAACTGATATTGTCTCTAACCTTCTGGCTGCCTGTCGCAGTTGTTAGAGCAAGTCATGAATCTGCACTGGGTCTCATTTCCAGCTCTGTCTCTCTGTGCACTTCTGTGGAGCAGTGCCAGATCTCAATACATCATTAGCATTCACTTATGAATAAATGCAAATCTTCATGTTGCCTCAAAAAAGCAAACTTGGATTCATAGAACAGTGTTTTGCTTCCTCATTTCCTCATCCCTATATTTTTCTAATCTCAGCAACCATAACATTTCTTAATAATGCAATTATATGCAAATGAGGAAGTTAAGAAAAAAGATTGGTTAGCTTCTCTTTTAGAGGAAGAAAAGTTAAACTTCTTCTGCAAATTTTAGTTGGGGAGAATTTTCTTTGGCTCTCCTGGAATATCTTAGCAGGATGCTTTTTTTTTTCATGGTAGTGGCCTTCCTTCTTGAATAAAATAACTCTTTCTAGTAAAAGGTGCTACTTACTGGTGGAGAGAATGCTTGTTCGAAATGACTGTAGCATTGTAGCAATGTGTTACTGAAATTATATACTTAATATCTTATATGCATAATTTTGCATTTCTGTGCAATATTTTATTGTAATAGTTCAATATTGTAATTGAGTGGTTATTGTTTGGTTATATGAGGAATGTGGGGACAGAAAAATATAATGAAGAGGAATAATTGTTCAAATCACAAGTTTCTCTTCATTCAAGTCCTGTCTCCTCTCTTTCTGAGGGTGGCAACATAGAGGAAAGTCAAAGCCAAACTGACTTGCTTTATGGACTGGAATGATGCGACTTAGAATAGTAGGATATTTAGATTTTTACATCAACTTAATATGAAGTCTTTAAAGCAAGCAAAGCTGTATTTTTTTCAGGAATTCAATTAGTTGTTGGCAAATTTTTCTTTCTCTATAATCCAAGTTTGTTTTTGAGACCCATGATGCAATCCTAACTTTTATAGCTGAAGTGCAATTAAAGCAAGATAATAACAAATACATTTTAAGTCACTAATCAAACACATTTCAAAATACTTATCAATTATTAGAAAATTTATATTTGAAAATTCCTCTAACTAATGTACAGGTAAGGATAAACAACCTTTCTAAATCTAATATGCAAGTTTCATTATCTGCCTCATTATTTATTAATATTTTCTACAATGGATCATTTTCCATTATTTTGAAACATTTGATGAAAGAAAGCTGTGTATGTGCTTAGAATTATTTGAAAAGTTGTTTTTATCAAGTTTTGTAGATAAATATATGCAAATATGTATACATAAACATGTGTGCATCATATATAAAATATATTAGTCTTTGTTTATGTATATAGCTGTATGTTATAATAACTAGCTAACAGGAAGATTGTACCTTTGTGACATAAGTGATTTGTAAAGTGAGTCTCATCCTTAGAGTGATACTTACAAGTATTTCATGTTTGGTATAAGAATTTTAGAGTGATAAACTTTTATGAAATTTTTGATTAAGAAAAACATAAAACCACAAGTGCATAGGCAACACTTTCTAAAAATACTCTAGTAATAATAACTCATTTATTTCTACAGCTTTTCTGTCATACCCCATATGCAGAAGGAAAATATATAGCTACCATGCCCATTTTGGAGATGAGGTAATCTGGCTTCATCTCATTAAATGAGAGCCATATCTCTGTAGCTAACAAATGGTGAGGCTGGTATTTGATCCAGGCAGTCTCCAACACTATTCCACTGCTTCTGAATAGGTTTTCTAAAGTTTACTTAAAAAAATATGTGCTTGCTAGTTTTTGCTAACTTTACACAAACTAGAAGAAAGCTCAATTGAAGAACTGTTTCCATCTATTAGGCCTATGGACATGTCTATGGGTTATTGTCTTGATTAATGATTGATATGGGAGAGCCCAGTCCACATGGGTGGAGTCAACCCTCATCAAGTGGTCCTAAGTAGCTTTACTCCACAATCTCTGATTCATTTATAAAGGTTTTTAACTTAGACTAAATTCTTTGGAAACTCACAGGGAAGGTGATTGTAACGGAATGGTGACATAACCTGAACCTGAGCAGGGCTGGAGTGTATTACTGCACCTTAATGTAGTTTTTAATGGACTCGATAATTTCAAAGGTCCAGCTACTTTAAAATTAGGTAACTTTAAGAACTTATGACATATTTAAGCAGTTTTAATAGCATAGATGATCAGATACTGAACGCTTTATGCTTCCCGTAATATCCTTATAATGTGAACTTCTTGCACTAAGGTCAATGATATGTGTTACTCTAGGGTGCATGCCAAAGAAATCTCAGTTTTATTAAAGGTATGAGGCACAACTTAGCCTTGTCAACATCATCTTCATACAATAGGCATCTTATTGTTGGTTCCTGCATGAACTGAAGCAGACTATTTCACAACTTACCTGTCCAAAGGCAAAACAATACCAAAACCAAAAACCTTTCAAAATTTTATGTTTACGTTGTATATTTTATAATCATAATACTATTCAAAGTTTACAAGACATTTTCTGCTTCATGTTGGTCTCAGTCATCATCTATGAACCATACCTGAAGTCATGTGGAATAATAACCTTTGTGAAATGGAGTGGTAGAACAAAAAAAATGA